AGGGGAGCGCCCCAGAGGGTTATTTCCAGAGCCCAGAAGGTTATCGGCTGCCCCCTACCATCTCTGGAAGAACTGTTGCTTGGTCCCGTTGCTTGAAAAAAAGCACAACACATTCTGCAGGACCCATCACACCCTGAACACTGTCTGTTTGAACTGCTGCCTTCGGGGAGAAGATACAGAACAATTATAGCAAGGACACACAGATTAAGAAACAGTTTTTATCCGAGAGCTATTGTTGCTTTAAATGCTGCTAAAACCTTAAAATTTGAATGTTTGATGGGATTTTACGGGAACTGTGCAATAGTCAGATGTGTATGGATGTAAATTTGCTGGGTTTTATTGTTTATGATTATTTTTTATCATCGAAGGATTGCATTTTCAATTTCGTTGTACAATGTACAATGACAATAAAGTTAAAGTTCAAACTTCATCAAGAATCAACTGTGCATGCGCCGTGAAAGCATGAGGTGCCGACAGGCTGTAAGCAAAGCAGAGAGCTCGCAACGCTGTAAACGCTGCTTGGACAGAGCCAGCTCATTGAAGTACATGATTGGCTGAAATATTGCATCAAAGAGAACGCCCTTACACATTCAGCATTCACATTATATTCATTGTTTTTGTTCCAGTAAGATCGTTATGTTGATCTTTTGAGTACACACATCTGTTGCATGTCTGTTTGTGTTGAAAAGAGGGATTCCTCCTCTGCTGCTCTTCCTGAGGTTTCTTCCATCTTTTTCCCATTAAAGGAAAACCGAAACCTTGAGTGGTTTGTGACATATAAACTCTTATATAAAGTCTGAGTTGCTTTGACTTATAAAAGTCACAAGTTAATTCTCCAACTAAAAATTCTTCAGGCTTGCTGTCTCACATTTGCAGACATCAGATCTTCATCTTTAAATAAACGTTAATTAAACAAGGGTGGCGTGCAAATACAAGAAGCTTGAGATTAGTAGGGAACAGCCTGTTCTCTGGGTCTTGCGGTCTCAGATGTGCTCTCAAATAACTAAGAAACTTTCATTATGCTATTTTCTAAACTCATGTAAGTGTTAAAATTACGCTCTGATGAGTGTTCACTGCCGCTCTGGATAGCAGAAAATGAGAAAAAAGTCGTTCTCACCCACAGAGCGACAGCCCTATCAATGTAGTAAAAATGAGAATAGATGATGCAAGCAATGGGGATGATTACGATTATTGATTCACCTCAGCTATAACCATCACTATAAAATATGGCTAGATTAGTTCAAATAAATATTCTATTATGCAGGTCTGCCACTCCAGAGACGCTACAGGTTATACTCCCGAGTGCATCACATTGTGAACTAGGGCTGCACCCGACTGGATTTTGTTGGCTCTCCAATGCAACTATTCGTTATTTTTCCTTTCTCTTTAATATATATGTATAGCCTACTATCCAACTTTAATTTAAGTGATGATTTTGACCACATTGACATTGGTATTTAAATGCAAAAGAGTGACAAGAACATATTTCAGAATCAGAATCAGCTTTATTGGCCAGGTGTGAAAGACACACGAGGAATTTGACTCTGGCACATCGGCTCTCAATGTGCAAACAGTAAACCAGCATAAGGCTGTGTAATATAACAAAATAAGCAGTATTATCATCAACAAACAGTGCAAACAATGCAGAAAAAACAGTATAAACAGACAGTAAACAATGCAGACAACAAAGGAATGTTCATTGAAATGAGATAAAAAGGAATAAAATCAGAGTACTTAAAACTAGAGACCTGTACGAGTCTGTATAATCTGTACAATGTATATTTACAGGTGTTGCACTGAGGGTTATTGTCCAGTCATACTGTCGTGGGTTAAGTGTTCATCAGAGCGACAGCCTGGGGGAAGAAACTGTCCTTGTGCCTGGTTGTTGTTAGAAATTAATAAATCAGTCAGATAATTATTAGACTTTAATGTGTTATTAATGCAGTTTAGGGGGGGCTGGAGGGTGGTGATTGTTGGGGGAGCAGCTGTTGGATCTGAGATGGGGAGGGAGAGGGGGGAGTGTTGATTGTCAAACCTGCAGTCGAACACTTTCAGGTCATCTGCTAGTTGACAGTCCTCCACAGCAGGGAGGATGGTTTTCTATAGCTAGTGATGGTTTTCAGGCTCCCGCACACAGACGGGTGGTTGTTGGCTGAAACCTAAGCTTTCAGCTTTTCAAAGTAGCTCCTCTTTGGTGCTCTGATCTCCCTTGTCAGTGTGTTCCTGGCCTGGCTGTACAGTCCTGTAAGCCTCCTCTTTGGCACGACAAAGCTGCTTGAGTCTTGCTGTAAACCAGGGCTTGTTGTTGTTGTATGTGCAAAAGGTGTTTTTGGGCACACACACATCCTCACAGAAACTGATATAAGATGTCACAGTGTCAGGGAGTTCATCCAGGTCTGTAGCTGCAGTCTCAAATACATTCCAGTCTGTGCAGTCATAGCAGGCCTGTAGCTCTGACTTAGCCTCCTCGGTCCTGCTCTTCACTGTTTTGACTACAGGCTTTGCAGCTTTAAGTTTCTGCCTGTAGGTTGGAATAAGATGGACCATACAGTGATCAGAGTCTGAGGGCTGCGCGGGAGACAGAGCAATAGGCGTCTTTTATTGAAGTGTAGCAGTGGTCCAGCGTGATTTTGTCCCTGGTGGGACAGGTAATGTGCTGTCTGTATTTGGGCAATTTATGGATGAGATTTGCTCTGTTAAAGTCCCCTAGAACAATGAGTGGAGAGTTGGGATGTTCTAGCTCCAGGCTAGTTATCTGTTCTGCCAGGAACTGTAGCGCGCTAGGGTCAGCCTGTGGTGTTATGTACACTCCCATTAGCATGAAACTGTTGAATTCATGGGGAGAGTAAAAGGGTTTGCAATTGATAACAAGAGACTTTAGGTCTGTGGTATATGTCCTCTGTAGCACTGTGACATCTGTGCACCAACTTTCATTTATGTAGAAGCAGATTCCACTTCCTCTCGCTTTCCCGGACAGCTCCTTTACACGATCCGCTCTGTACACCTGGAAGCCCGGTACTTGAATCACGTTGTCCGCGATCGAGTCGTTGAGCCAGGTCTCCGTGAAGCACAAAGCAGCAGAGCGTGCAAAGTCAGAGTTAGTCCTGTTGACGAGAAGAATTTCATCCATTTTGTTGACCAGAGAGCAGAGATTAGCCAGCTGAATAGATGGGAGTGCGGTCCGAGTTCCCCTTTGTCGTAACCGCACCAAAGCGCAAGAGCGTTTTCAATGCCGGGCGGCGTCTTTTCCAGGTCCCGTATATCGCTGCTGCGCCTCCGATCAGAATGTCCATACAGCATTCATCGTTCACAAAAATCGGAGGAAGGTAGTTTGGTGTGAGTTGTCCAATATTTAACAGTCTCTGGTAAAAGTAATCCAGGATGAGTTGCACAAAACCAAGAAAACAAAGAAACAACAAACACATGAGAGCGCGAGTAACCACGACCGCCATCACTGTCGGCGCCGGAAGTCCAGCAGTTAAAAATCAATAAAAGACACCTGCATTTGATGCAATATTTAAAGAGCCCATGGCATTTCACTGTTTTCTGACTTAACTGTTGTAACTAACAACAAGATTATTCTAACAATCAATGATGTTATTGTCACTACTGTTAGGTATTTTTAGTCAGATAGATATTGGTTAGATACTTGATGTATTAGAAATGTTTAGAGTAGACAGGATGTCTAGCTCAGGCTGTTAAATGCTTAGTCATTCTCATGAATGCTGCAGGTTGCTTATGGTCAAGGATAACTAGATAGAAAGTTGATGACTGTTAGAAGACAGGATGTTTAATATTATTATTATGATGTGTATAACTGTAGCCTTAGCCATAATATTTTCTTGTGTTTACTGTCAAGACATGTCACTAGAGGTCGTGTTAGAATGTTTTTAGCTACACACCACTTAATCAACGGACAATCACACATTGATTTTCCTCATGCTTTGACTACTGCTCTGGTCAGCTGCAAAGCTGGCACCGGGAGACGTCACGGTTTGGCGTCTTCTGTGTAGAATGGGGTTAGCTCGAAGTGATATAATGTATAGGCCTGTTGTGGTTCGGGGTCTTTCATCTGCCTGTGTGCATGTTGGAGGTGCAAGATACCTGAGCGTGTAATGTTAATTTTTACCTGTGTTCATTGAATAAATCAGCACAGTTTTGAAGTTACCTGGACTGCTTCGTTTCTCAGAGTTAGCGTGGTTAAAGGTACCGGGTACAACACTACACATGATTCTAAAATTAGTTTTACAATGAAGTAACCCAATACACAGGCCTGCTGACTTTGAAGAAACCTTTGGTGTACCACGTTAAGACCAGGGAGACCGGCGTAGGGGGTGTTGGTATTATGCCTATGTCAATAACTTAGCACAGCAGCAAATCTAAACAATTTCTAGATGATACCTGGTAAACTATTCAAGATTTAAAAAATGTATCTATATAAATAGCTAGAATCCATCATCTACAATTTTCTGTCTGAACCGCAACTCACTACTTAGCCTTCTAAAAAAAGAAATGTAAGATAGTCTATTGTATAATTTATTTGTTAATGTGTGAAAAGTTCCTATGGGAAAGATGTTGCTAAGCTGAATGCCCTGAGGAGGTGCACTCTGGCCGTTCATTGAGAATCAATCCCCGAATCCGTGGAAAATACACATAGCCACACAAGACATTTTTTCCAAAGGATGGCTGCAGCGCCAGTAAAAGACTTTGTCCCCATATGTGTTTGCTCTGGAATAAAACCTAGAGTAAAACCTCAAGTACTCTGAACTGGGCTCTTAACAGTGTTTACGTTGACACTGGCTGACATTACTGTTCATTGCTATCAACAAATGAATAAGATACACGGCTCTTACCGGAACTGACAGGCCCCAAGGCTTCCTGCTCTACATCCATCTGGTGGTAGTGGCGGATGCAGACACGACTGTCTATCTGGTAAAGCAGGGCTGGACACAGGTAGGTGAACTGACTGGGGGAGATGAGTGATTCAGGACTCAGGCCATAGTAGGTGAGAAGCTGAGTCAGGTTCAAGCACTGAAGAAGGAAACAGCAGAAAAGTTACGTATAAAGAAACCGCTGACTATATAACATCAGAAGTGTTATGAATATGAAACATTCAACCACTAACTGTGATAAATGGTCACAAGTGTATAGGATTTACAGACTGGGGCAGAAAGTTGGATTTGTGTCCTCAGAGATAATAGTCATCTTTAAGTTAAACGACATCCTACCTCTTCGTGTTGATGTGACAATCCACCTGGATGCCCTGACAGGAAGGGAACTGGGAAAGCTGGGGTGGCCGGTCCTCCTGGTGCTTCTCTTTTATCTTTATGAGAATGGCTGTGACCGTGTCTGTGATCATGGTCATGAGTGTGGTCATGGTCTTTATGAGAATGGCTGTGACCGTGTCTCTGATCATGGACATGAGTGTGTTCATGGTCATGGACATGGACATCAGGGAGAGGTGTGACAGGAGAAAGGGTTTTATTTCGCCCTCGCTGTCCTCTAACCCTTGCTGGCTTTCTGGGTTTCTTGGGCTGGCTTTCTGTGGGGACAGAAGAAGAATGTAGCTCCTGAGGGACTGTGGATGGCACCAAGTGGCCAGAGGGGGTCTGTCCCTGGTTGATGGGAGAAATGTCTGTGCTGGTCTGTATTTGATGAACATGACTGTGGTCTTGTTCATGACCATGATGGTTGTGATCATTGTGGTCATGGTCACTGTGAGGCTGAGAAGACAGGTCCTTGTGGTTAGATCGCAAGTGGACCTGCTCAAGTTTGTGCTCTTTGTCATGTGCATGCTCATATTCGTGATCATGATAATGTTCGTGGTCATGATCATGTGTGTCCTTCCCATGTCCATCAGAATGTTTGTGATCACTGTTTTCTACCTTGGTGCGATCATGATTATGTTCTCCACCAATTTCATGATCATGTTTATGGACATGATCGTGGTCATGGTCATGGTCATGCCCTGTAGGTGCACCAGCACCTGGAGTCTGCTGACTGCATGGTGTGGGAACCTGCTCTGTCTGTGGATGCTGGAAGCCAGGTTTATGGTGTGAATGGTCATGCCCGTGTCCCTGACTATGGCCTTCAGTGATAGATGAATGTGAGTGAAGCCCCTCCTGCATATCCAGCATGTCGAGGTGGGCTACGTGGTCATGGCCCAAATCCTCATGATCCAAGCCTACCAACTTCACTTCACCCAGACCCAAGCTAAACAGCAGACTCTGAAATCCCTGGAAATCTAGCCGATCCTTCTTGCCATAGCGCCTGAAGAGTTGCTGGATGTAGAAGCGCTGTTCCTCCTCAAGAGAGTCCCCCTGGGGTCTCTTGGACTCCGGAGACACAGTGGCTCCTCTCACGTACGGAGTTTCAGAAATCTGCAGGTCACTATGATCGTGGGTGCGGTCGGCATGGTGATGCCCACCATTCTGATGGCTGTGTCCTTGTGCATGGCAGTGGTTGCACTGATGGAAGAGGAAGGTGAGCACACACAGGAAACAGAACTTGGTGTGCATGTGGACTCGCATTGTCCCCTTACTTCTGGTCTCCTGAAAAAAAAAATAGAATAGTGATAGCATCAGAATATGAATCAATTTGTCCTCAAAATGATTAAATGTAGAGAAATGTGGCTTGGTGGGGATACTTTGACCAAGTGCACACTAACTGTTGGTATCCAATAGGACAAAATATCATGAATATATTATTCAGTGGCAAGACAGAGAGAAAATAGCTCAAAGAATCAAGTAAGCACTATTATGACAGTTTGTACTGGTGAGTTTGTTTCTGACCAGCGCTCCACGGACATCGTACAGTGCTGTTCACCTCATTGTAGGAGGTTCTAAAATTCTCTCTTTGGTTTTTATATGAAATTTTCAGGCAGGATGGCAGCTAACTGACAATTTCAAAACAATTTAATAAATGAAAAAAAGGGCTTTGGCTCAAAGGTGTATATGTCCCTACTGTCACAGTCACATTCTGTGCACCTGCATCTTGCTACAAATCTCCAAATGTTCTTACATTTGGCATCGTGCAGGTGCATTTTGCCACAGCAGCAAACACCATGATCGCTGTGTTACTTTTAGATGGTTGAACTGTTAAGTGAGCATAGCAACTGTAACACAGAATGCGTTGTAATCATGTGAGGCATGCACGAGAGGGTGACCTGCCTGGAATACCACCACACTGAAAGATTAACTGAAATATCACAATATTGATATATATCACAATACAGTATACAGTGGGTACAGAAAGTATTCAGACCCCCTTAAATGTTTCACTCTTTGTTATATTGCAGCCATATGCTAAAATCATTTAAGTTCATTTTTTTCCTCATTAATGTACACACAGCACCCCATATTGACAGAAAAACACAGAATTTTTGACATTTTTGCAGATTTATTAAAAAAGAAAAACTGAAATATCACATGGTCATAAGTATTCAGACCCTTTGCTCAGTATTTAGTAGAAGCACCCTTTTGAGCTAATACAGCCATGAGTCTTTTTGGGAATGATGCAACAAGTTTTCACACCTGCATTTGGGGATCCTCTGCCATTCCTCCTTGCAGATCCTCTCCAGTGCTGTCAGGTTGGATGGTAAACGTTGGTGGACAGCCATTTTCAGGTCTCTCCAGAGATGCTCAATGGGGTTTAAGTCAGGGCTCTGGCTGGGCCATTCAAGAACAGTCACGGAGTTGTTGTGAAACACTCCCATAGCATGATGCTGCCACCACCATGCTTCACTGTTGGGACTGTATTGGACAGGTGATGAGCAGTGCCTGGTTTTCTCCACACATACCGCTTAGAATTAAGGCCAAAAAGTTCTATCTTGGTCTCATCAGACCAGAGAATCTTATTTCTCACCAGCTTGGAGTCCTTCAGGTGTTTTTTAGCAAACTCCATGCAGACTTTCATGTGTCTTGCACTGAGGAGAGGCTTCCGTCGGGCCACTCTGCCATAAAGCCCCAACTGGTGAAAGGCTGCAGTGATGGTTGACTTTCTACAACTTTCTCCCATCTCCCGACTGCATCTCTGGAGCTCAGCCACAGTCATCTTTGGGTTCTTCTGTACCTCTCTCACCAAGGCTCTTCTCCCCCGATAGCTCAGTTTGGCCAGACGGCCAGCTCTAGGAAGGGTTCTGGTCGTCCCAAACATCTTCCATTTAAGGATTATGGAGGCCACTGTGCTCTTAGGAACCTTAAGTGCAGCAGAAATTTTTTTGTAACCTTGCCCAGATCTGTGCCTTGCCACAATTCAGTCTCTGAGCTCTTCAGGCAGTTCCTTTGACCTCATGATTCTCAGTTGCTCTGACATGCACTGTGAGCTGTAGGGTCTTATATAGACAGGTGTGTGGCTTTCCTAATCACGTCCAATCAGTATAATCAAACACAGTTGGACTCAAATGAAGGTGTAGAACCATCTCAGGGATGATCAGAAGAAATGGACAGCACCTAAGTTAAATATATGAGTGTCACAGCAAAGGGTCTGAATACTTATGACCATGTGATATTTCAGTTTTTCTTTTTTAATAAATCTGCAAAAATGTCAAAAACTCTGTGTTTTTCTGTCAATATAGGGTGCTGTGTGTACATTAATGAGGAAAAAAATGAACTTAAATGATTTTAGCATATGGCTGCAATATAACAGAGTGAAAAATTTAAGGGGGTCTGAATACTTTCCGTACCCACTGTATATCTCAGTTTGGCACATATGCAAATGTCACATAGAACAATCAAATTGATATCCAATCCAAGAAACTCTGTTCGACTTAAATAACGTATTTCTTTGGGCAGGATAATAACAATGAGTGAATCACCTTAGTGTGAGCGATGTACAGTCAAGCAACAACAGCATACTGAATTACCTACCACCAAATGAAAGCAGAGTAGAAGAGCTGCTCAATGTAACAGTATATTCATTTTCAGTCATAGAAACAAGGAAGAGGAATAACATATTTATAGAGTACAGTCCACACTCAAAAGCATTACTGGAACAAGACAAACGGTAAGTGGTAGCACTTAGTGGGACCAGTGTATGAAGAAGATGATGAACAAGAATTGCTGTTATCACGATTTATTAATCCCGGTGTCATTAAATCACTGATTAATATTGGCCATAAAAAGCTCAGTCAGGGTTTATCAATGATGCACTGGCATTCTACAGTGTAACATGATCAACAGTAATTCCCATAATTATGAAGAAAAGCAGAACAAACTAGGATAATAACCCTACACACTGCACATAAATGCACCATTCAGACCACCTAAGCTGCTACCTTTAGCTTAGAATAACAGATCTAATAACTGAAACAGGGAGCCTTCTGGAGCACAATAAACTCTCTACTGAGAATTGTGTAACAAATTGCTTGTTTTCCTCTGCTCTAAAAAGCCTGAAGCAGCAATATCATTCCAGTCAAATGATCCTCATAAGGTCTCTTGTGAAGCCTGTGGGTGGTTGATGCGTGAGGGGTAGGGCTGGAGAGCAGTAAAGGGAGGTCAGACAAGGAACACTTCTGGATAATGGTAAGATGGCACACAGCAAAGACCAGAAATATAAACACACAAACACACACAGGCCTTTGGCATTCGGCTTGTTAGCAACATTTTTACTGGATTTAAAGCATGCTCACTGTGAGGGAACACATTTGTGTTGTGCAGTCCACAAATACTGGGCTAAATGTTCAAAACATAGAGGGTGACAGATCTTCCTCACAAGTGTCAAGGCTAGCAACAACAGACTGCACACTGTGGACTTGTGGGGGCAACATCAACAACAAAAGAGCACTATAGAACATCACTGTTTTCCATCTGGATGCTCACAAGAAGCAAGAAATTGCAAAACAAAAACTCAGAGGAAGGGATGAAAAAAAGCATAGGATCACTTAAAAAGTTTTACAGGGTCATTTTTACAAAGAACATAATGGTGATAAATTTACAACATGTCATTGCTATTCAAATGATAAGAGGATGAGAAGAGCAACAGACTATCAATCTCCAGCAATCTGGCCAACAAAAATGTTTTAATCCCTAACTATACAGACTTTCTATCCATCCGATGGAGAGACTGAAAGCCTCAGTATCGTTCAGACAAAGTCCTTGTTTATTCTCCAAAGCCTTGATCATTGTCTGGACAGCATCAATAGCTTATCAGCTAATGACTATTAGCTCATTATGGAGTTCCTTCTCCGCACACGACAACATCAAGAGCTTGTGTTAAAGTAGTGTGAATTATCAGTGTTAAAGTCCTGGGTAGTGTAATGTTATATAATGGGCAATTGGGTCATAATAAAAATGCAGACAAAGATTACTTCTGCAGAAATTACAGTAAACAAAATTAAACCAGCTACAACAGACCCAACTTGTTCAATTTTATAATGAGTCATCCTGGTAATAAACCATGTAGTGCAATTCAAAGGGCCATAAATATCGCAATCACTTCAAAACCTCAACAAATAAAAGCCATTAGTTAACACTGACTTCATTCCCATTGAAGATTTCCTTTAGAAGCCTGAAGCGAGGCTACTTACCACTGTGTGCCCTTGAATGAGTGGGGTGTGAAATTAGGTCTGGCCACGAAGTGAATGATAGCGTTCTGACTCGAGGCTGCAGACGTTAAGTGTGGTTACGAGCCTACTTCACGGCTGTCGACAAGGCAGTGTTTATAAACATGAGACAGCAGTGACCTATGAACCTCGCAGCAGATAGGTTGGGGAAAAACCAGGATATATTTTAAAGAGCACACCCTCTAAGCAGCAACAGAGCGTGCTGTGTTTTCTTGATTAGAATCTTTGCTGTGTTTGGCCTGTGAGGCAAACAAGAAAATCTCTTATTTACTATGAGAGTTTAATTGTGTGTTACACAAAAACCAATCTGAAAAGTAGGCAATTACAAATTTAAGTGTAACTTACATTGAGTAGCAACTTATTTCCTACACTTACAACTTAATAGCTTAATAAATGAAAGGGAAAAGACAGAGTGAGCTGTACTAGAATATGCACAGGCCCATTTTATTAGCTTCTATTAAATGGATATTAATGCAGCAAACAGCACTTTACCTAAACTGATTTCCCTGATGTAATCACAGTTTGTCTCATCACAAGATGAGTGAATAATCCTATCATCATACTGTGAAATGCACTTATTTCCTGACTCACCTTAATGTGCCTCCTGCTTGGCCCCCAGTCCTGGTGCTACTGTGTGAGGGGGGTGGGGGGGGCGGTTTCCAGCTCTTCTGAAACATGCACTATAGGGAAATATTACAGAGGACAAACAAGTTAAATTCAGGCTCATCCAGGAGAGTACTAAGTTGACAAAAGATTCCCTGACAAGGAGTGAACAACGTGGACATTTGTCAGCGGTTACGGCTGCAAAACACAGTCTACATATTGGGTCACTCAAGACTGCAGACTCTAGTCAGTGCTTTCCATTCACTGTACAGTAAAGTTAAGCAACCTCCTACTGACAGCACTGTTGTAAGACCAGCCTACGTCTGAACGGATCAATGTTGAAATCAGGAGTCGACATGAATGAAGCAACATTATCAAACTAAACGTGAGCTCTCTCATTAGCTAGCCAAGACTGATCTGTGGGTCATTCACAGGAAGGCTTGTGAGAATACTGCATTTGTGAAGGTGATGGCTTTATTTTGAAGCATTCAGAGCAGCGAGGTTGTTGCTGCTACTGTGAGTGGAATCCTGCACATAGATGAACACAAATTAGAGCAGAATTTGTCAGGCTAATCAAATTCATGAGGACTGCATCAAGGGTCTGTTTGAGTGTTACCATTTGTTTAATTAAAGAGCGGAGACTGTGCAGGATTCCTCCCAGGAAACTGGTTAGCAGAGGCTTGGGGGGGGGTCAGTGTTTATCTCAGGCATGGTGGTCTGTATTCAGCATAATACACAGGAGGAAACCTTAAGCAATGTGGAGTCCAGTGATTGCTGAACTGCACAAGTATCCTCAACTTTTATCTGTCCTGTGTGAGCTACTAAAGCTCTGCTGCACCCAGGAGTGGAGCCACATTTTGACTTGAACAGAAATGATTCATCTTTAGTGTAGTAACACCTGTGATTTTCCTACTACGAGGCCTTTTGGAAGCCACAACACTTCCTAACAGTCTGAACACTGACGTAGGTATTCAGTAACCAGTCAAGGTGATAAAACAAACTGACTAAAAGCTTTTAGCAGAAAATAACAACACATTCCTTTGTCTCACATGGACAAAATGTTTACAATTTGATGGAAGCTGCACAACAGGAACTGATGCAATCAGTACTACACTACTGATAATAAAACACAAACTGAGCTGTTCAAATGTCATCAATAAAATACTGTGCTTTACATAATACAGCAGCAGCACTGCTGACACCCTCATGGATATGGAGGAATAAGGAATAAACACAGTTATAAAGATGATTAAAAACAGCATACAGTATTATTTAACTACAGCATGTTAGTTTGCATGTTAGCACCAGTTGCAGAGGTAGAATTCACATCCTTTACTTAAGTAAAAGTACTAATATCGCACTGTAAAAGTAGCCTACACTGTTACATTAATAATGTTAAGTAAAAGTAAGTATTAACACAAAAATGTACTTAAAGTATAGTAGGCTACTCATTGCAGAAAAGGTTACACTATACAGCATTGCACTGCTGTAACAGCAGGACTTGGCTGTTGTAGTTGGTTGAGGTGGAGCTCTGCTCAACTATTTTGTATCCAAGTGCAACTATTGATTATTTTCAGTACCGATTAACCTGCTGATTGTTTTCTCCATTAATCGACTGACGGGTTTGTAAAACTTCTGACAATAATTAGACATGCTGTCACAAAGCTTTAAACGATTATTGAAATAGTTGATTATTGTAGGTGGCTGAGAGTGCAGCCGGACCTGTGTGTACCTTCACTCGCACACACCCAAGTGAGCCAGGAACGTTTGTGTGTGTTTCTGGGGTCAGATCAGGATCAGAGTGAGTTCTTTTTTAAGTCAGAGATTAGTGAAGGAACAGACAGGGATCAGGGATGCTTTGTGTTAAGGGTAGGTTATATCTGGAGAACGGTTGCTTATTGTGGGGCTCTGAAGATTTATGATGGCATGGCCTGACACACCCTCTTTGGGACCAAAATAATGGGCAAACATTCAACTTGTACACTGAGCTTCCACATTTAACTGTGTACTATTGACTCTTTGGGATTAAAGTTATAAACGGGACACATACTTTGACCTGTACTGAGAGATGGTGTTCTCGAAGGTGTTTGTTCTTGAGATATCTAAAGTAATCCTGTGCTGCTGATTTAAATTTCTTTTTTTGGTCAGTGCAGTCGGGTGAGTCGGTCTTCTCTCTGTCATTTGTCTGCTGCATTTGTGTGTGTGGCGCCCACAGGCATTCCGGGGAAAAAGGTGCACACACATTGAATTTTTTCAGTTCTGGTAATAAGCAAAATTTTCATACCACGCTATACTGTGAAACTGGTGTACCGCTGCAACCCTAGTGTGGTTTTTACTTCAGCCAGGTTAGATAACATCAATAAAAATTGTAAACGTCTTGAAACAGTGTACAACCAACTGGATTCCTTTTAATAAGAAGTGAAGTAAAAACACACCCTGATGGGACTTAATGATGCTGTAAGTGAACCGCTGAGCCAGTATACACACAAACATTAAGGATTACTGTTAGCTGATCTGAATGTCTCCTGTTTCACGTTGCACGATACAGCTACCACATGACCATTAAGGTGTTATGTCACTGTCAAGGTGAACAGAAGTTAATAAATTAATCGTACTTCTGTCACTTTTGAAACCCTTTTCTGTACATTACTACACAACTCAGTGATAGTTCACCATGTCTTTTCCAGGCTGACAACAGGAACCTTGTTATTTCTCAAGAGAAAAACGGCCTTTTCCCTAAAGCCGCCTCACACGGTTCTCACATGACTATACGCATCTCGTGTCAGCACCAAGCTGGTGTCTGCAAGGAAACACAAAGAGGAATGAAGGAAAAAAATCTACTCTGCTATTCAAGAAATGGCATCAAATGGCTTGTGCTTGATGTTATGAAACAAGAGTGGTCATTTTCCTACACCAAAGTATTTTACTGAAACTGTAAAATCAAAACACGCCTTTAAAATGTGCATGTGATATCCCAAGCATTAGAATATTATGAGTGCTTGGCAATAAATGTGATATATCTTTAAAAAGCAGCTTCCCAAGGCTGTGATGGTTACATCACCAACTAATAAGCTTCCACTTTTTGATGCAGACTGCTAAGCCAGGGAGCTATACAACCAAAAGCTTGCACTACATGCAGAGTGAGAGCACAATCTGTTCTTGAGACAGAAAAATAGAAAGATGTCAGAGAAGAGGTTTTCTTAGTAAGGCCTGAGGCGTGCTGGAGAGGGCAGATGTCAGCTGCCACATGGACGCAACTCTCAGCAGATGGTCTACGAGGATGGTCTTGGAGGACCATAATCTGCTCTCGTATTAGACTCAGGAAAGTAAGACGGAGAGATGTGACATCTGTGCATGAGTTATCTGTGTCTGGCAATCACTAAAGACAGCTAGAGAAATGATAGTGTGTCAATGGTTTTCATCTTACCAATCACTGTTTACCAAAGATTCACTCAACAGCAGTGACGCTGCACAGTGAGACATTACAACACTGGCCGACAAGCAAATATACACTTCATGTTTACAGACCGTGCTTTTGTCATAATACATGGGCAGCAGTCCACTAATGTCGCAAAACACGAAGGAAAAACCAGACCAAGGTTGTCATTTAGACGGGTCAAACCAGCAAGAGTAGCTATTCTGTGGAATTTGTCATAAACTGTTTGCTGGGTCTCCTGAAAATCTCCTGACTCAAGTGCCAGGCATATTTAACAACCAGCCTGATGACTGTATTCATTACAGAAGACTCAGAACTAGTGGGGGCTGAAGGCATAAGTTTCAGTATGAGCCGATCACAATACATTCATCACCAACCAAATCATTAGTCAAATTAATGACAAAGAAAAGTCAAGCAAATTTCCAGCTTCTCCAAACAGCCATAATCCACTGTCATAACACGGTTAACGTACCATATCATTCAGCAAATACCAACATCTCTCTGTGGTATGAAACTAAGCTGTGGGATACCATGACACATGCAGGTTAAAATAAAAACCTGTGTAAACAAGCCACAACTTCTCTGAACTTCTGAGAGACAAATATCTGTTTACCCGACAGCAAGACGTGCCACAAGGGCTGAAGTCACTGAGTCATTTAGACAACATCACTGATGGAAGACGCTGTGTATAGTCCATGAGCTGCAACAGAAAACAGCGAGAGATCGGTGAGAAGAGAAGGCAGGTGCACAGCTGATGCTCTGTGGCCCAGAAGAATGTTCATCGTAGTGTAAAAGAGTTTAAGACTGCAAGGATAGACCTGACACAAACAAGTAAACAGAACAATCAGCTGAGGAACGCACTGTGCAAATGTCAAAGAAAAAACAGCTTGGCAAAACCCAGAGTGATGCTTACCTCTGGTCAAACATTAGCCACAACAGACAGGAGTCTGTCCATCGCACACCAATACAAAATGTTCACACCAGCTCTAACACAAGCAAAAGGTTAAATGTTTTGAGGATCAGAGTCCTGTGACTTAACTAATTTGTACATGGAGGAGGGGACCACAGGGAGGAAATGTGTGTCTGAGTGTCTGAGCAGTCCAGGAGCTGGATCGTGTATGTGTATGTGGCTACATGAGGACATCTACCCATTTTCTTATTGTAAAATGTACCAAAATACCCACAACGGTGTATCCCTGACCTCTTTGTTCATTAAATCTGTCCTTTAAAATACAAGTTTGCAGAAACATTACTCTACCTACTGTCAGCACAGATCTGCAGACTGAGCATGACACTGTGTGCACACTGCCTAGTGCTGGTGGGAACAATACATCTGTACAATAAGCTGACACATAATATAGACAGTACTCAAACTAAAATCAGTGATTCAAACAAGAAGTCACACTGTTTCAGCAATTCTTAACAAACGTTAACTAGAATGACTGAAAACGCCACATTTCCATTATGTTTGCTAAAGTAAACCATCTTGTAAGACTGGAGGTACCTGGCAGCTGTGTCTGGCCTCTGCTTTTTGCTGTTACAATGACAAGGCTGCAGTGATTTCTATGTGGAAAGAACATGGTGGCAAGTACTGATCTTATCACAGTAAAATGTCAAAACTTGGCTCTAAAACCAGGTGTTGCTTCACTTGTGTTGGTTGCTCCACTATGGTTCTAGCTAGCTGTTCATCACTTAAACCACTAGTAGTATTCAAACATTTATTCTCATCACACAACGACAGAATCACATCTGCCTAGTCTATTAAGGCTGGAAACATGTCAACCATTAACAAAATACAAATGTAGGAAGACAGCCTGATGGTGCTGCTCAAAATGTCCTGCCCGCATTAAAACCCATATCATAAACAGCAGGAGTGTGGGAATGGTGCTACGTCTGAAGCAGATTGTAAATGCTGTGAGCACTAAAACAAATACACCAACCAAGTCTATGTTTACAAAACTCTTTTTAGAAACCTGCGACAGTGACTTTCACTGAGGGCTTGTACTGGAAGGCATTAAGCTGTAGTTACATAGAAAAACATTTAACAACCTTCCATGCTAATAAATGTTTAGTTTTATATGAAGATGAAGTGGATCTCTAATCTGGGACCTTTTTTTCCCACGTCTTTTTACATGTGAGACCCTGAGGACACCGTCATGGAACACAGCCAAATGCAAAGAAACTATTTCACTCAACAAAGGATGAAGCCAATGAAAATGTAGAATGACGCCCTAACACTGTCAGGCTTCTGGGACGTTAACACTCCTTTCTACAGCAACACAAGTAATATCAGCAGACAAATTCCCAAAGGCCATTTCAGCTAATTATATTGTATGACAAATTTTACCATAAAGTTCCAGCTCCCTGTGACCCACATTAGGATAAGCGGTATGGATAATGAATGGACGGATTAAATCAGTGATTTCATAAAGCAGTAGTAGAGGTCTGGATTTTAGGGTTGATTTCAGCATCGGTGTGGCTCAGTATAACATCCTCACACTGTAGCTTTGTCCTCAGTGAAACTGAAATAACAGAAAACTTGTAGAACTTTGAACTGCATCCTAACAAAACATCCAAGCCAGGACATAACTGGTGCAACTCTGTGCTCATTCCATTTGCTTTCTTTGCATCCCAGTGCAATCCAAAAATAAGTGTTGCAATGTTCTGTAAAAACTTCCATATACAAGACTGCGTTTTCTCCCCATACAGATACTTTAGATGTTTAGCAAGCAAAGTGGAGACAAGACAATTTCAGCAGCATTCTAGGCAGCGTGGGTATTTGATATGAAGTACAGTCAGTTCCATTTAATACACTGAACAGATGAACTCACGGGGTGCCATCTGTGAGCATTAGCCGAGTCTACATGCTCTTCTCCAGTATGGCTCCATGTTTCACTCATACAACTGCACATCTTGGAATGTACATCATATGAACTTTGAATATGTTTGCCACACTGTTAGCATTATAAAACACACACTGAAACAATGGAAGTCTCTGTGTAATAGAACAGTTGCATGTTCTCTAAGGCTCTCTTTGTCAAGTCTGAAAATACAACCCTGATAACTTCATCCGGTAATTTGACAGAGCTACACTGTGAACTAAAACTCAGGATCCCTGGGCCCCTGCAGCATAGATTCTTTATGTAATCTTAATCTTGTGATGGCCCAGTCTTGTATAGTATAAACTCCATTTGGTTAAGTATACATTTCAACTGAATCCTTGTCCCATATCATACATGCTCAGTGAGAACTCTACAGCCCAGAAAACACAATTTCTTATTCATCTACCTGGTGCATATGGAGGCACAGATTACTGTACATAACATGACAAGTCAGTTTAAATTGCTATAAAGAATTTACATGTCAATATTGGGCCTAATTATTTCAAGTAAAACCTCTTAATTTCTGAAGGCACATTTCTTTTCCCTTCATATGACTGGGGTTTATGAAAGATAATACCAGATGTTCCACACTGAAAATTAACACTGGCCTAGAAGTAAATCACTGTAGTTAACTGTTTAACCAGTGCAACTATAATTTTGAGTTGTTAGTTGTCTTATGTTTTGGTGAACTCTTCCATAACAGATACAACGCATACCGACGCTCTACCTGGCATCACCCATCTGTGGGAGAGTGTTAAGGTCCTTAATCGTGTTTGTGTGTTTACAAAATACTCTGGGCCCTACAGCTTTGACCACTGGAAAACTAATCCGATACTGTATATTGTAGGTGGGGTGAGGGGTAGGGGTACAGATGATTGTAGTGGCTGAAGGACAGGACATAACAGACTGAACTAAAGTCACATAAATTACTGTATTTTTTTAATCAGCACAGTCTATTGTCTTGCGGTGTGTGAACTGCACTGTGCATTTGTAGGGGCTCTCATTTTGACCTGGAGGGTGCTGCTGCTGTGTTGAGGACATATTTATAAATCAGAGCACAAAACTACAGTAATACATGAAATCAGCTGAATAACCACGGTGAGTGACCCTGCAGATCAATCAGGCATTACTGATAGCGGGTAAAATCAGTCCAGCTACAATTTCCTCAAATGGTCAAGTTTTTCACTGACCTGCCACAAGGGATATATGCCACGTGACTGTGCAGAACCAAATAAATGGATTTTACTAGATGTGTTCTGGCCACATTTCTGTATGAATGCTCACATTTTGCTAAGTATCAACAACAGCTGATACTCTCACTCCACACTATTGTTCATTTACACCTCCAAACAGTAACTCTTTCGTGGGGTCCCACGGTACACACCGCAATTTCATGTTAAAATACAAATTTTATTTTCTAAAACAAGATCCACGCCTAATCTTTGCTTCAGGACAGTGAGGACACACAGAGGTGGGCAGCGATGCCAGTGAGTCTCGTATAAGGGTTTCAACACGGCACATGGTGCGCATAATGCAACACTAAGTTACCACTACCGTAGCGTGGCCACAAATCAGCATCTACACTGCTCTAACCATTAAATAGCCAGCATATATCTAGTTCTGAATATTCAATGTGAGCACAGGAAACAACCCCAAAGCCAAACAGCCGTCTGTTTTGTTGGATTCGCCCGTTTGGGGCAGGCTAACGCTAATGCTATCCTAGGAATGAAGGGAACAATTCCACAAGCTAACATTAGCTAGCGGGCGACACGCAGGAAATTAGCTTTCAGCCTACAAAGAACAATGTAGTCGTATGGTGTCTGAGACTCCGTAACAAATATTAGCAGTAGTTAATAACGTCTACACGTTCCGACAAACACCGCCCGGGTCCATGTTGTGGGAGTGAATGATAACGAATGGGTTTTTTTATATAGTTACCTCACTCGAGTGCCGTGTGCATCTCCTCTCCGCTCGGTACCAAAAGATTTACGTCAATGCATGAAATACCAGTGATTCACCTACGCCGCCTACGAACTCTCCGTAGCCCCAGATAAGGCAGCACCAACAGTCTGCGCCATTTGCGTAGTGCACTGAAAAAAATCACTGACGTTTCTTTCCGGTAGACAGAGCAGTCAGTCACATGATTACTGAGGACACAGCAGTGAGGTTGCTATTGCTTTGCCGCATTAACATTTGTCTTATTTGGTTATAGGTGTCAGTGGCACTACCTCATACATTTCTACAAGTTGATAAGATTTCTTTATGTCAGTCACCCACACTGACAAAGTAAAAACTGAAGTTTAAACCGTTTGACCAGTCATGTAGTCTAGTCTATCTAAAATGACTCATCAAAGGTTCAGGCAAACACGTAGGAAGCTATAAATAAGTGTATTGGTAAGACTGAACAAAACACAATGAGAACAAAAAGGAGAAAGAAGAATAAGCACTGCAATCCATCAGACAAAGAAGTAGAAGAAGAACTGAATAAGGAGTAGAAGCTGCCTGAATAAGATGATTCTCCACACAAGTCTTTTGTGTTGAGCAGGTTCCCCATTCAATTACATTCGAACTAATTAAAATACACTATATTGATTTAGTATTTCTTGACCAGCTTTATATTCCTGTTAGTGTGCTGCAACATTTGAAACAACCTTCAAACCACAATGCTAGGAGATAACATGTTACAGAAAATATAATTACATTAATAAAATCAATGTGAAAAAATAAATTTTAGACAAAGGTTTCTCAAGAGGGGAGGGATGGTGGGAATTAGGATTAATAATCTTACATTTTCATAATCCTGACTATAAATCCTTGGTGCTGGGGACATTAAAGCTCAACTGAAATTTCAAATGGAGCCCACACTAAATTAGGGTCAATTATTTCCATTATAGTTGCAATATTTAGCCTGTTCCTGCTATGGGTCAGCTTATTTTTATACCTTTTTGACACCCATTGACATCCCTGGAATAACCTGAGGCAACAAAACCCGGACTCATCTTGAAAGGGCCTGAAGACTTTGTCTAAGTATCAGATGTAAATAATGAGAAAATGTATTAGTGCTTTGTGATTGTAGTTTGTGTATATAAGACCCCAAGAGAAAAACACTAAGCAAGAATGACAACATGCATGATCAATAAAAACTTTATCACTAGGCTACCTTTGGCAGAACAGTGGCCACAAGTGGGCAGGAGTGGATATTATACAACCTAATGGCATAATAAATTTCACTTCATTACCCAGGGAACTTTGGAGTAGATTACTTACTGATTACATTCTTGAATGTGACAATGGATCCTTGACCTTGCAAATAGCATTTTGATTAAATAAATAAACAGCTTAAGATCCACATATTTACTTTTTCTGGAGGTTTTACCCACCTCTCATTGTCTTCTTCAGTGGATGGCATTTGCTCAAACTAGTATTTTCTATAACTTTTAGCCAATTAAGAAAGGAGGTGGTTGTGAAATGACTTTGTTGGTATGTGATGTGAACCATGTGCTATGATATCAATAGTAGCACTAGTAGTAAAACTAAGCAGCTTACTCAATATTAGTTGTGGTGTGATATCTAAAGTTTAACATCAGCTAGCAAAAGCTACCATTGAATCATATAAGACCAGCAAGGCTTATCGAGGCAAAAACCAGAGTCTATTGCGATGAGAAGGTATTTGTATTTTCAGACATTTTATAGACTGGCTTTTGATAAACTGGGCTCACATTTGTTTTGATATGGGACAGTGTAGCACCAGCACCACTACTCCCTGTATTATAGACTCTCACCAGCTTGCTTCTCAGTGAGCATTAAACCGAGAGTTTGCACACTTAAGAATCATTGTCATTTTGTGTCATTGCTGACAAGTGTCGTGTTGCATGACAGTTATTCACTTTACACCCCATGTACACTATTTTTGTCTGAGGGCACTATGAAGTGCATAAATGTATACATTCAGATTTGAGATGGCAGAGGGTAAATATAGTGAGCTGTATATACACTAGTATAGGTGAGTTTGGACACAGTCACAGGAAGTAAAAATATGTAGCCAGCATTCAATAACACACATAACTCATACATTATTACATTATTTCTGTACTGGAATCACAGTATACAGTATTTATGTAATGAACATTAGACATAGGATTCACCAGCTGATTTTATCTTTCAGCTTGGTCTCATCTACACTGGTCTTTTCTACACAGTAGCTCCAAGAAGTCGATAATTTCGTAGCAGGGCTCCATGCAAATCCATCAGATGATATCCTCTGAAATGTTTGTTTGTTTTGCCCTATCATGTGGTATGGGCTGTGGACAACTGACCTTCACTTCTGTGTGTAGGTGGCTGTGTGTGTCCAGGTGAGTGTGAGGCACTTGGATGTTCTGAGCACACACAGCTAATTTCTGTTGGCCTTGCACCAGCTGGGTCCAGTTCCCAGCTCCTGCCCTCCCCAAATTTCTCCTCTCATGTCTGCTGTCTCTCCTGATCACAGAGAGATTAATATCAAGTGATTGGCAGCCATGTTCTCACTTAGCACTCTCATCATGGTGCCCTGGGGTCTCTGCTAGTTGTAAAGCAATGGTGGAAGTGCCATTGTGGCTTTCACTGTCATTTAGTCGGTACCCAGCCCCAGCAGACAGAGGATGAAAAGTGCCAACGACCACATTAAATTATGAGCTCAAGTCAGCCTCAACCATATATACAACCCAGTACAGGGAGCCATTTCCTGC